TAGGAGTCTATAGTTGACTTTTAGGTTAGAAACTTGGTCAACAAGTTAGCCATGTGCCACACATGTTGGAAGCTTAAAGAACAAGCTAACTACGTGGTCCATCCATAGAAAACTTGCCTTGCAAGCAAAGGCATGTGGCCTAGAAAGTCAACATATATTGGAGGTCTTATAGAACATCGCCACGTGGCTTCTAGTTAGATAGTATATATAGAGGCAAGAGTGAAGCCCTCTTCACTCTTGTCAACTCCTTTCTTGCTTCTAGTCTAGTTTCAAGGGTCTCTAGTTTTCTTGTATTTTGGCAATAGCCATTCCAGTTTCTTTCTTAATATACATATTTCTATTTTGTCCTATTTCTTTTTGAGAAAAGTCTCACTTACTCTTTACCTTTCATCGAGTTCTTGTCCTTGACACTTATATATACAGCTAGCTATTTGAAAGATGCGGCAGCAATTTGGTGGCGACATCAAGTTCAAAGCTATGGAATTCAAGGTGGATTTTGTGATTGAAAGGAATTTGAGATCGAGTTTAGGAATCAATTTTGGACCATCAATGCAGAAAATATAACACATAATCAGTTGGCAAATCTTATACAATCTAAGTTGGTATAAGATTATGTCTCCTAATTCAAGTCCTTATATCTCGAAATTGACAATATTTAAGAGGCAAAGATGATGGATTAATTTCTACAAGGTTTGAAATCTGGGGTCTAACGAGAAGTAGAACCAAGGGATCTACAAACATTTGAAGAGGCAATTAAGATTATAGAGAGGGTCGATGCTATAGATTTCATAAATCGTAGAGCATGACCTATAGCATGAAGTCTTATGCCACTATCTAATGCTATGGCACAACAACCAACACCAATGGAGATTGATGTCATATAAAGATTATTGATACTACAAAAATGACAAATATTGGTACAAAAGAGATTGTATTTCTATTGTCGAGAATTAGGCCATTAGATCGAAGGTTGTCCAAAATATCAAAATTCTAGCACCAACAAATTAAAGTGGGTTCAGAGTCTCAAGACTTACTAAGTCAATAATAAGAGAGAGTAAGGAAACAAGGCTCTCTAATAAAGGCATCAAGGGCTAATATTGGGGATACCTATTATCTCTCAGAGACAAATGGCATGGCCTTGAATAACTATAAAAATAAAAAAGTCGATTGGTACATCTAATGGGACTAATAAGAAGATAGTCATGTCAAGTCCTTGTGGATTGTGGCTTTGTAAAAAATTGCATCTCAACTAAAATTGTCAACCAACTTGGGATTAAAACTAAGGTAATTAAGGGAGGAAGTATATACCTTATAGATGACTAAGAGAATGTATTGAGTGAAATATGTATAGAAGAAACCTTCAAGTTGACTAATACCTATGTCTTAAGAGAGAGATTTAAGATAACAAAGCTAAGATATAATGTTATCCTTAGTATGTCATAGCTAGAGGTAGAAAATAAGCAAATTCATTGATTAGTAAAGACAATCTCTTTCAAACAAGGTAAATGTAAGGTGATTTTTTGTACTTGTGCATGAAGTGAAGATAGAAAAATAATCTACAACTAAAGACTTACTGATAGGGATGACTTTTATGAAGAAACAAATATAACTTAAGCAATCGATATATGTAGTGGTTCCAAATCTTGAAATAGTGGTGGAAAAGAAAATCAAAGGAAGAGAACAGACAAAGAAATTCATATGGAAATATCAAGATGTATTTTCAATTAACCTACCTAGTAGTGTGTCTCTTGATCGAAGTGCCCTCTTTCAAATAGAATTATTGTCTAGAGCCAAATCAACAAGTTGGCCAATTTATTGCCTAATACCAAATGAATTTAAAGAACTGCAAAAGATATTAGACAAATTCTTAGAGAAGGGCCTCATTTAAAAAAACACATCACCATGGAAAGCATCTGTACTCTTTGTACCCATAAAGGATGGTAGACTTTGGCTTTGCATCATCTATCAAGGCCTCAATAAGCAAACTATTAAGAATACATACTCACTTCCACACATAGATGACCTTTTTTATCAACTTCAAGATACAACCATTTTTAGCAAATTTGATATTTGGAGTCGCTATTAGCCAATATTTATCTTAAGAGAGGATGTAGAAAGATGGCATTTTGTATGTGCTGTGGACATTTCGAATGGCTTTTTTTTTATCTTTTGGCTTCATCAATGCTCTAGCTTTATTCATGGATCACATAAATAGATTGTTTTGGGACCTTTTGGACAAGTATGTAATTTCTTTTATTAATGATATCTTCATATATAGTAAAATCTCTGAAGAGCATGAGCAACACCTATGAGAAGTATTGTACCAGCTACAAGATAGTTGCTTCTATTACAAACAATCAAAATGTGAACTTTGAGAGTTGAAAGACATCTTTTTGAGGCATGTGGTGTCCTACAAAGGCATGCACATGGAAGAAGATAACGTGAAAGCATTGGAGGATTGACCAATTGCCAAAGATGCTTTTGAAGTCCGCTCATTTTTAGGCCTTGTTGAATATTATCACTATTTTATTCAGCAATTTACACACATTGTTGCCTCATTAACAAACATATTGGAGAAGGGTGTCACATTTGAATGAAAACTGGAGGAGCAAAGCGCCTTTGATAAGTTGAAGGAGGTACTCATTACTACTTCGTTATTGCAACCATATGATCCCAACATTTTTAGTACACTTGACATTGATGCTTCTAACTTTAATATTGGAGCGGTCCTTCAACAAGACTTTGATAGGGGCCTTCAACTTGTGGTGTATGAATCATGCAAGCTCAAAAGGGCACAACACAATTACTCTGCATGTGATCGAGAGCAATTAGCAATTGTATATGCCACAAAAATATGGTACAACTATTTGTTAGAGAAGCCAGTGGTTGTTTGGACTGACCATCGATCTTTTGCTATATGATTTGCATTTAAAAAATATGAAATCACGATATCATTGTTGAAAAGAACAATTGTAGCTTTTTGATATCCAATTTGCTCTTGATATCAAGGATATAGTTTTAGCACTTTGATTTCAAGGATACAGCTTTTAATATCGAACTTGTTATCTCAAAGTACTTTGATCTCAAGGATATAGTTTTGGATAGGTTTGAATTATGATATTTGAGCTTTTGTGTACTCTTGTGAGTCATGTTAACATAATAAAGTACACAACGCAACATCTCCTAGATTATTATAGCTAATTCTATTACTTATGGCATATTGGGAGCAAGTGACTATGGATCTCATTATATGTTTATCGCAAATACCTCATAATCACACTGCAAATTTCCATCTTTGTGGATCAACTCTCAAAGCAACTTCACTTGGTTGTGATGTACTTGGATATTGATACCGCAATGCTTGCACAAGTCTTTTTTGACATTATCTTGCATCACCATAGATTATTTCTTATAATCTTTTAAAATTGAAATCCATGCTTCACGAGAAGTTTATGACAAGCCTTATTTAAGATATTAGGCACACGGCTTGTCATATCTACAACCTTTTATCCTCAAATAAATGGACAAACAAAACATGCAAATTAGACCTTGAAAGATGTACTACATGCATTTGTGGTAGTTCACCATAATGACTAAGATGAATATTTGATGCCTTTAGAGTTTACTTACAATGATAGTATTTAAGCAAGTACCAATCATTCACCATTTTTCCTTAATACTGGTCAATATCTGATTATGCCAACAACTCTCCATTGTCCCATTGACTCTAACAACTCAATAATGGATGAGTTTATACAATGACTTACAATGATCTTATAAGAGGCACGATACTGCCTCTTTATTGCACAAAATTGATAGAAGGAATATATGAATGACCACGGGCAATCTAAGACCTTTCAAGAGGGAGATCAGGTGTTATTCTCCAATGCCAACTTGCCACTTGCTACATCAATCCAAATCCATAAACTAGCACTTCGGTAGCTTGGATTTTTTTGCATTTTTGCATTGATTTTTGATGTCGCATAGTACCTCAAGCTTCTCCCTTATAATTAGGTCCCTCAAATCTTCCATGTTTCACAATTGAAGGAATTTCTTACCGAGTCAAAGCACTTTCCAGATTGATACCAACTACCACTACCGCCAGTTGTAGTTGATGACCAATAAGAATATGAAGTAGACAACATTTTGGAACATCGCTATGTTTGCCATGACAATGGACATCTACAACTTCAATACAAAGTTTTTTAGAAAGGTTATATCACCAAATATTAAAAGTCTTCCACTGGAATTTTTAATATTTTATTTGAAAGAAGTTATGAAGGTCTTAACAACAATCAAATAATAAGGTGGTATTTTCTTTTTAATATAAGATATTATTGATGGTTTAAAAGAACTATTAACTACCTTCAAATATTGATGGTTTAAAAGAACTATTAACTACATACTATTTGGTGTATTTTAAACTTCTCCAACATGTAATTATTCCTTGTTATAAAATTTGTCTTTAGAAAAGGGAATAATATCATATATATCAATATTAACATTAGTAATTAAGAGGATAAAAGAAGTTACAAAGAAGTACATTAAAGTATGTTAATTCGATAATATCTTTGTGAAAAAAATTTAAAAAGATTCATAAATACAAATTTAACTTTAAAAGTATTTGTAGATAATTGGTATATTAAAAACTTTGCTAATAGATTGGATACGTGTCAACTAATTGTTTTGTGAATTGGCTACATATTGCAAATGTTGGCAACTTGCCTTGCAAATTAATCATGTGTTTTATATGTTGAATACATACTAGATGATTTATAGAATGACTCTATATAATTCATTAGTAAGATAATATATATGGATGTAAGTTTGAGGCCTTTATTATTCTTTCTATTGTTGTCTTCTATTATTTTTCACCAATGTTATATATATTTTCCAAGTGTTGATGCTCATAACCAACAACCTCAAAGACTCTAAAAAGTTGCAAGAATGAAAGTGAGTCAAAGACAACAATTTTCTTACCATCTAAATTTAAAAGAAAGTTGCAAATGAATAAATAATTATATATATATATATATAGATGTGTTTATTTTTTGGAAGAATCCTTACTTCATGAAGAAGAGGAGGACGTTAATCCCTCGTGATTTTGGTAAGCAACAGTGGCTAACAATATGTTGAGTGCCCAGCCAACTCTCTTGATACACCACCTCTATAAAGACCGAAACCACATCCTCCGAGGATTATCTACGTGGAGCCACCTTCACATTTTGCAGGATATGGGAAGCTGTTATTCTCCTCACCATCCATCTCGCGTGCAGCTCCCATTGTTTTAGACCATTCAAAACTCCCCTCCCCCCTTCGAATTCCAAGGCTGATCCCGCGCATCGTTTTTTTTTTTTTTTTTTTTTTTTTTTTTTTTCCCTTCCCAGCAGCTACTGGTTCACAGTTGCAAGCAGAATCTGACCTCAGACCTCACCGATCACACGGCTCCACTACCAATATTCCGAGTCAAGATCGCCGCTCATGCTTCCACATCACATGCTTTTCCACTGCTTTGCATGATTCATGCAGAGACTGCACTGGTCTCGAGGAAAGTGGAGCGGTGGAGTCTCGGCGGATCAATGCACACCGTGTCTCCGGTGAGCAGTCCTGACTGTGTTTTGCATGCTGCATAGTCTTACTTGTGATTCATGTTGCTGGTTGGTGATGATCTTGGTGCTCCAGACCTGGTGTCAGGTTTTACGTATGGAGTCGTTGCAGAAACCGCAGCATCCACGTCTTGGTCACAGCTCTTGAGATGCCCTGGAGGAGCCTATCCGTCCGGTCACGTTTCTAATCCAGATTGATTCCTCCCCAAACACCTCCCCCAAAAAAATGTGAAGAAAATCCGCTCAACTGCCGTGTGCACCTTGGAGGATTTCGGCTTTGCAGCCGGTTCCCAGGAGGAGACGCCAAGCCAACGCTGATCCTGTCGGAACACCATATACGTTCTGCAAACAGGGGGGACGTCGACTGTTTCGAAACGCTTCGCTACAGCTGATTGGGGCCTTCACCGTTGTAATTAAAGCAAGTGGCTTATCACGCTGACGCTATGTTCAATAAATCCTTGAATGGGATTCGAGACCAAGCTCTCAAATGGGTGGAAATTGTAGGGTGTCTTTTTACGGACGGTCGGAGGAGAATGCTCTATTCTGATCTTTAACTTCGCCCAAGTGGGTCACTGTTTTGCAGCACACCTTCCAATGCACATAGATAGCGAAGTGAGTCAGCTCATGCGTTTCATGGTTTCAATGGCCGCTTGTGAAATTGGAAAGCATCAATCATTTGTTCACATAATTTTGAGAGTTGGCATGACGTAGTGTTTGCATATTCTTTGATAGTTAATCAAAATGCGAAGTGATGAGGCATCAGAAGCATTTTTCTGAACACAATCCTATAGTTTGCACAGGAGAACGTTCAAACCTGATTGTATGGTGTGTCGGATTAGTCAAGTATACACATTGTCGAGAAAAGATTCAAACCCGTAGTTGTGATACGAAAAGAATGTGATGCTTCTAAACAGAAAAGGAAGAAAAGACGGTCTCTGACGTTGAATGAGAGTTAAGAGAGGAAATTTGATGATGATATTCCAAGTATAATGGATATCCCTTCAAGTGGTTAGGACTAGCTTGCGCATAGGAAAGTGCCTGCATTGCAATTAGTTCATTTACGTTAGAGGTAAATGAAAACACAGAAATAAGGCATGACATGCACCCTCTCAACAGAGTACGTTCCGATACTACATGTTAACGAACAGGCAGAAGTAGGTTGATGCAACAACCTTGTCTTAAATGCCGTTGATCATTACAACTTCGCCTAAAACATGAAGCCTTTCTCACTACAAACAATGCTATTGTTCTGAGATGCCCTACGGATAACACAAAATCACAATCACAATCAAACTACTTCGGTATGACAAGACCGATATTGGAACGTACAATTAAAACCATGGATGCAAGGTCATGACAAAACTGAAGATTATGCATTGGCTTGATAAGAGAACATTTGATATTTTAAGGATGAAGTATCTTGTCACAACGATAACCCCATAAAAAATTCTCGACCATTCCAACAAAGTCGTCAGACGAACTTGAGCTAACAGAGACTGAAAGAGGTTAAAAAGCGCATCTAAAGAAGTCTTTCAAGTTGCCGCACCCTATTACAATCATACACAGCCTACAATATACAGCCAACACAGTCGTGCTCGTCTGCACCTGACCCAAACAAAGGTAGAGCATAAGCCAACCTTGACAAGATTTTCTTAAAAGCTTCAAAATTCCTAAAACGAAAGGCCATGCGGTCTGAAGATTCAACACTGAAGACTTCATTCTGTAGCAATTTCTTCATTTGCCAATACGAGAGATGTGTGCAGTTCCTTTCTGAACCTCTGCGTAGAGGTATTCCAGAATCTAGCTACATACAATCCATGCATCGTCATAAAGTGCTCTGCAGGAAGCGTAACTCACCAGAGGATGCCTTTAGTCCCCAAATGTCGATTCTGATCACTTGCTGTCAACAAAGACATATGATGGAATTGCAAGGCCTACTGTTGGGAAAGCAAAGGACATCCATGTCAAGATGTACTTTTCGATCCAGGATGAGACTTGACCTTCTGAGTTTATCCGCCTATCGCTTCTCTCAGCAGCACCGAACTCTGTCCTTCCAGGTGAGGATTTGTGGCTATCTTTCTTCTCAGGTACTCCAGACATATCACCCGACTTTTCAAGTACTTTAGAAATGGGAACACTATCTTTTTCCTGGTGCTGGCTGAAGTCGGAGAGGACTAATCGCATGATTTCACTTGTTCCACAAGGATGTAATGCAAACCATGGCCGGTGTATAAGAGGGTGATCCTGCCACAGCAATCAGCAGCTAGATTCAGTAAGAAGCATGGCTTGGTTATATTTCTAATACTCCTAAAAAATTTATCAATCAAAAAATCCTGTAAGAAAACTTAACATGTAACAAATGAATACCTCCTTCCAATCTAGTGCTCTAAAATGGGATTAAAAAAAACTTGAATGTTTACCTCTGCGCTTTCCAGAACGTTTTCTTTTTATTTAAAGAAAGTAATTTATTGGAAAGATATTTCAGCGGTATTGTTCAACATCCCCCATAATCGAATTTAGCATTTTATTTAGGCATTTATACCTCTTGTGTCAAAAACGTCCATCGACTCTGGTTGCTGACAAGCTGTGACCCAACAGGCAGGTCTCGAAGGACGCTGTCCCATCGTAGCGGTCTTCCATCTACGTCAATTCCGAATCCTTTTTACGATTAGGGTGTCACCGCTACCAGATCCCTTAAAGTTTCGCACTTTCTACAAATTATGCTTTTTGCTTCAAGGCTTCCACACTATGGTCAAAAGCTAGTGCAAAGTGTTTACAAGATGGACACATGCAAGCATTATTAAACACACGACATTAATCAGAATACATCAAAACTGCTAACTATACCTTCCTCTTATCCAATCGTAGTATGCATGCAGAAGACTGAAGTACTGGCAATCTTGTTAATAGTGCTATCTAGACACGGACCTTGCAGACGACCCTGAAGAAAGAGCATCGGTACTCTGTAGGATTCGTTGTAAACCACGTGATATGTGTACAAGTGTTGATTGAAAACTCCCATTGAATCTCCATGCTGCAACTCCATCAACATGATATCAGTCTTTCTTAGTTCTAAAGAAAACTCTCAAATGACGCAATTGCAATACGCTTAGTTACACTGTGTGATCTCGTGAGAAGAATCTCCAGGCCTTAAGAATTCAAATCCAAAACAGAAGAAAACAAAGGGAGACCGCCCACAAAATGAAAATGCTTTATATGAAGTTGCGGAGACGAAATTTACAACGTGCGTAAGAACTTCAGAAAAGCATGTATTACCATGGTTGCTTGGTCCTCTGCATCACCATAATCTTCCTCATCAGGCTCGTCAAGATTTTCCGCATCATCCTGCACGAACAGTTAAACATAACCGCCTTCGAGAACTAAGACTAATGTTTCAAAATGAGAATGAAAATAAATCCCAACTCCTATCCAGCATGACTCAGAGCTGGGTTCCAATGATGGGAAGCTTCAATACCTTTTGATCAGAACCCACATAAACGTTTTCTAGAACTAGATATCCACAAGCCTGCACCCACCATAGTTATAGTTACTGAGGCTTTCCGACAAAAGGAAATATCAAACCACTCTCACAACTAGAAGGTCTCGACATGGTATGTGTCAACATGGAGTTGCTAATTTAAATCGATTTTGCAGATCGTTGACATACTAATGCCTGAGAGATTTGAACCACATTGAGCAAAGTAGATTCTCTGCTTTCACTGCTGAACGAATTCAACTGTCCACATATTTTTGTAAAATGCCGAGACTTACATATCCAGGAGTTGTTGATAGCAATGTCTTTTCGATCGGCTGCCAAGTCCACTCAGGCAAATCGGGGCAGCAGTGCTTCCATTTCATTACAAGGTACAAAGCGGCTATCTTAAATTCTTCTGCGGTGAGAGTTCCATCCCCCGCACCAGGAGCCATGCGCCTAAACGTGCAAAAGCTTCACCATACCTGAATTTCAGTTGTCATCACCGCCCAACAGCTCCTCTTGCTAAATTCGCACAAGCGAGAAACCCCTGATCATCGATTCTAGCCAAAGGGTTCTTCAAACCAGCACTGCACACAGCGAAGGCGAAAACTCGCAGTTCATTCTCTCGACTTTGAAAAGCGTTATAGGAAGCACCAAGCTAAATGCTAAAGCTCATGGCTCATCACAACGGCGAAATCCATCGATTACCCACGTAATCAATCAAAAAAAGCTCAACACTCCTCTTGAAATACCACAACCCCAATCGACAACGAAAACAATTGAGACGAAGCTCAGTTTCAGCCCCGCCATCCAAACCCACAAAAATTGCAGCAACAAGTCTCCGTCGAATTATTTGCACCACTCCACACGTTGAAACCGATCATAGCGCGTCCCAAAAACAGATCGAGAAGAGATCCTGTGCAACAACCGCGTCGAAATCCCGATTGCAGATTTCCACGCAGCGGTTGAGAGCCCACTCGAAGGAGAGGGGGTTGTCGGTGAAGAGGGCCCGGCAATTGGCCTCCTCCGCGGTTATCCATTCCCGCGCTACCCACCCCTTTTACCGTTGGGTTTCAAATTGACTCGTGCTTTCTTCTCCCGCCGACGAATGTAGACGATTTTGTAAATAATTGGAAAATCTTAGTCAGTGCCACTAATTGACAAGATCAGAATTCAAGGCTACGTCACGTGAAACCCTAATTCACTCTTGGAATATGACTAGCCAATAAATCCAAAATTTAAACCCATTCTTTACAAGTTTATTCCTTGGGAAAATTCAAAAGCTTTTTTTGTTTATCCAACTATGAAATTTGAAGAAATAGTTTTAAGTGAATATGACTTCAAATATATACGTTTTTTTCTCTACCCTAATCTTATTTCTATTTTTTATTTCAAAAGCTTCAATCTGATTTTTGTGTGATTGTTGTGTTTGAAGTTTATGACTTCAGATTTGAACTTATTAGAATGATCTATTATATTTATGAAATTTCTAAACTTACAAAATCTTGTCTTCCATTATCATGTCTATTTATTTAAAACTTCAAAATTTTCAACACCTTGTTTTTAAAGTATTTTTACAATAATGGTTTTATTGGTAGATTATAGTCAAATAATTATTAGAAACAAGATATCATTTTATTAAAAAATAAAAAATAAAAAATGCAATTATGTAACCATCCATTATAAAAATATATTTTCTAAATGTTTAAAAATGCTTTGATGTTGATAGAATTGTATTAAGTCTTCACATCTACATAAAAATCGTCATCATCATCATCATCATCAATTCAAAATAAAAATAGGTACAATAAAATATAAATATATATATATACTTATTGATTAATATATTCATCCAGTGAACCAACAAAAGAGTAAAATTTTTTTTGTATTTTTTTTACTAAATATTTTTTAAAGGAATTCCAGCCACCTTGACAACTAAAGCACTTAGCTTGAAAAAAAATTAAGAAATATTATATTTATTGTGATGTTTTTGGCTTCATTATTATAAAGATTAAAAAAAAATAAAAAAATAAAAAAAATCTTAATTATATTTAAAACAATACATAACAAGAAAACATATATTTTTACATTATAAATACTTATATTTTATTGATTTTATTGAATAGACACAATTCTATTATACTATGTAAATAGAAAAATATTAAAGTGATTAACCTATTTATTAAATCAACCCATCTTATTGTAACTATCATTAGAAAAATGGATTATCTCCAAAAACCATAATTACAATCATGACTATCATTCCCACATCCTCATTCATAACCTCTATTTTTGTAGTTCTTAGCCTTTTTCATTCCAAACCCTCTATTTTCAACTCTTATTTTAATCCCCCTTGTCTCCTCATGTAAATTTCTTTTTTTTTGTTCTTGAAAGGGAAGGACGTGAGAAAGTATAGTTATATGTCAATTGATTGTCCTACACAAGGCTAAAACTCGTCTGTTAACTATGTGATCAAAGAAAAAAAATAATAATATAAGAGAAGGCTTTATTTGTAGTGAAGGAACAAGAATCCTATTTAATAGTTACATAACAACAAATGGCAAAGAAATGCAACTCAAGATGTTGCATTAGAATTGCCATAAATATGGTGGTAGGTTAAAGAAGCAAGCAATCAAAGCACAAAAAAAAAATTGTTATAGATATGCATATAAATATGTGAAGATTTGGTAATGTGCTAGTGTTAAGAAGGTCTTGCATATTATCCATACGTTTTTATCCAAGTAAGCAATATCATTTTGTAGCTTGCACAACCATGGATAAAAATCAGTCCATTTAGTGAATACGATTTTATCATTTTTTTTTTTTTTTTTTTTTTTCTTATCTTCACTTTCATTCAAATTTATTAACTTTTGATTGTTCCAATATTCATTTGTAAATATGGGCAATTGCAAAGCTCAAGATAATATGAATTGCCTAATTTACAATATAGAGATGCATTGTGATCAAGCAAGAATAAAAAATCTAAGTTGAGTTTTGAGATTGGTATTGACATTTTCAATTGTAATCCAACAACTTCTAATAAAGCATCTGTCATAGACATACACATATAAACCAATAATTATCTATATGATTAGGTAAAAATAGGTAAAAGTAGGTTAATTCCATAATATCTTCTATTCAAGCTTTCAAGAAGCTCTATAGATGCTACTTTTATTTTATAGGTGTCTATAATTAACTTTTTAGGTTAAAAACGTGCTCAGTAAGTTGGCCATGTGCTACGCATGTTGGTAGCTTGAAGAACAAGCTAACTATATAGCCCACACGTAAAAAACTTCCTTGTAAGCTAAGGCATATGTCGTGTAAAGTCAACACATATTAGATGTTCTATAGAACATCATCACATAACTCCGAGAGAGAGAGAGAGAGAGAGAGGAATGAAGCCCTCTTCCTAATCTAGATTTAAAAGTCTCATAAATTATTGTCTTTATTAAAGTTCTTATACTATAAAGTAGAACATTAATTTAGATTTGTATAAATATTATTATTTTTTTTCACCCAAAGCCTTGCCATAATTCAAAATCTATCCTTATGCATAAAAATTTGTATGCATCTTCCATATTTTGTAAGAAGCAACAAAGGCCTTCAACCAACCAACATCTTGTACTTGATCACAACTAATTCAATTGCATGAAAAAATATGGTTATGTACTGATTGACTCTTTAACACAAAACTACAACATATATGTTCATTATGGTGATTGCTTTGAACTTCATAAATAGAAGTATATTGTGAAAAAATCAATGGATGCAAAGAAATGGTACTTTGAATTATATCATTTGATTCTATACATGTTACTGAAGAAGTTAAGTGAAGATGGCAATAAGTTTTTACATTCTTCATCAAAAGGCTATTATCTTAGGCAAATTACTTTATATCACTTCAAGTTGACAAATATCATAATATAAGTAAGTATGAGCTTAAAATTTGAGTTGTTAGAGAGATGGATTACTGCCACAACCTCTTGCATACAAATAATTCCATTCTCACATTAGTGTTACTTGATGCTACAAAAAATAAGCCTAGTTGTGCAATTGTATTTGTCCAATTTTCAAAACAAAATTTAATCCCAAAAGCTAAGCAATAAAAAAATCAAAAAATCAAATAATAAAATAAAAAATGGGATATTTTAAGATACAAGATCTTCTACTAATTATAATTATATATGTACAAGTTTATATACATATTGTATGTATTGCTTTAAAATAATTATACATCTTTTGTTACATTGGTGTCAATTAATTTTTTTTTTGTACAAGTAGATATTATATTATATCTTAGATTTTTATTCTTTGATTTTAAATTTTTTAAATTTTAATTTTTTTATTTATTTATTATATGTTTTCAATTAGACCAATTTGAGAGTATCAAGTCTTGATATATTAGATTGCTACAATTATAACTAGACCTATAAAATTAGTTATAAAGAATACAATCTAGTATATTAAGAGCTCAAATTGCAAGTGGCCAATTGCAAAAAGTAATGAAGTGAAAAGGAGAACATTAGAGGTTCCCTACATTAAACTATAACTAAATAAAAGAATAGCATTACTTGTAGTGGAAGTTGATCAAAGTTTAAGGCTCATACTATTGTTGATGGCATATAAAGGCTCATAAGTTATACATATTCTATGGTAAGGCTACTAGGAAGCTTTATGAAGTGTCATGTGATAGATAGACAAGACAAGAGAGCAACTAAACATCATTATTATTGAATTGTCATACTTCTCCTTAAATCTATAGCCTTACATTCAAACCTTAGAACATCCATCTTTCATGCTTTAAAACTTGCATTTCTTCTAGTGAAAAAATGACTTAATACAAGAACGTTGTAATTGGGTGTAATAATAGGATTTTTTTCTATTGTGTATATCAACAAAATAAAAGAAGATTCATACTTTGCTTAAAGATCTTTGATGGATGTACAATTGTTGCATGATTTGATATTCTACTTTGTAGTTAAGCATTACTACAATCCTATCAAGGAGAGATTCTTTGGACAATTTGGCCATTGAAAACAGTGCATACATTATTGTTATGCAATTACTAAATAAGATTCATGTCCCTTCAATACAAACAAAACCTTCTCTTGTTTTGTTGTTTGCTTTAATTATGTAGTGAATAGACACATTGTAAGAACAAAGGGAAGATTTAGAGGGACAAGAGGGATCGAGATAAAAGTTGGCAATGGGAATGTTTGGGATGAAGAAGGTTGAGAATGGAGGGAACACAGGCTAAGAATAAAGAAGTAGAAATGAGGAGGTGGAAATAAGGAGGTAGGAATGAGAAGATAAAAATGAGGAAATGGAAATGAGAGCCATAATTGTAATTATGTTTTTGGGAGATGATCCATTTTTCTAATGATGGTTACAATAAGGTAGGTCAATTTAATAAATGGGTGGATTATTTTAATATTTTCTCGTAAATATAAATATATACATGTATATATAAAACACAAAACTGAATAATTTAAAGCCATGGAACAATCAAGAACAATATAATGCACTATAGTAAAAATCCTTCCCTACGGAAGTTCAATCAATTAATGCATTTGTTATTACCATGACTATCATTAATATTCTGCATAGCTTTCGAAGTGTATTGGCAAAACACGGTTTCCACCACCAATGCCCTTCTGCCCGACGGCACTCCTGTGACCGGGCCAGCGGGGGCTTCCCCTGTGGAAGGCATCCCTAATCCCGCGAGTAATTAGAGAGGTGCCGTACTAATCGACCGACTAAAAAGGTCGCCACGTCTCGTAATCTCCGTCAGTGTCCGGCGCGTGGAGCTGATCCAAGTCGACTGCTCATCTTATCTGGTCCTCCCTCCATCGCCGCCTTGTTGCGTCCCCGATTCCGTCGATTGCATTGCGAGGTCAGACCAGCGAGAAAGGTATGCAATCTGTTTGCCTCACTTCGGACCCAATTGCTCGTTTTTTTTAAAAAAAACGAATTTAAAATCATGCACGAGTTTGAGCTTTGTGTTCGTTTCGCTATGGCCGGTCACGGTGACATTGTCCATGTTCGAAATGCTTGATTGATGGTGGGCTGTTGTAAAGTGGGCCTTCTTTCCTTCGTTTTGTCACATATCATGCCGATTTTCTGTTGCGTGTAGTGGCAGCAGTGAAATTGGGTGACAGTCGTTGATTTGGCTCATGCTTTAGGCTTTGGGTTTGGATTCCTCGCAGATGTGGAGCCTGTGGAGCATTGGCTGCTTGGTCGTGGCTGTGTTTGTACCAGTGGCGGCTGGGTTTTCCGGGACTGCCTTTGGCGGGGGCGGAGACACTGGTAAGTTGGGCTTTAGCGATTCTTTTACATGTTACGTGGTGTGGAAGAAGATGGTATCGCACATTGCATGCGAGATGTAAATGCTTGAGGGTACGAACTTAAAGTTTGCACATACAGCTATCTAGTATGATGCGTTTGGTTCGCTTGCAATGTGCCTGGTCGCTTTTCTAGCTCTTCCCATCATCCTTGTGCTGAAGCCTTCGAAAGTACCTTCCCTTTAGTTGATCAGGATTTTGTCAATATGTGGAGTTTTCGGCAGTCGGAGAGGAATTCTTATGAATTGTCACATTTTCGCCGTGCAGAGTGGTACAAGGAGCTGAACAAGCCGTCATGGACTCCTCCCGTATGCTGTTTGAATCATCACTGACTACTACTTCTCTGGCTCTGTTTTGTGCAAACTTTCTGTTATCTTTTTGAAATTAGTTGAAACGTATTCCAAGGATTCTTTTCCGTTGTGCTGCTGCAATGAAGTAGAAGGCTCTTCCAGTTTTCTGTTGGATATTGAATTTTTTTTGACATTGCGTACGTTTGCCACATTATCATGTGTCTGCAATGCTTCTGAAGTTATATGACCGTGGTTGGTGACATGCAGGATTGGGTCTTTCCCGTTATGTGGACAACTCTCTACATTTTAATGGGGATTTCCTCGTGGCTGGTGTGGAAAGAAGGAGGTAAGGAGATTACCTCAACTTGGATCTACTTTTTCTACTTGGAGGTGGAGTTGCAGATGAAGCGGGTAGAAAGTAGTTTTGAGATAGAGTATTCTACGTTGCTTTCGAAGACATGCCTCTTGCTTAATCCCTCTCAGGTTAAATAACGATACCTCTGCTTTTGCAGGCTTTGCTGCACAAGGGTACCCTCTTGGGGCCTACATATTCCAGGTATGCTTCTTGCTTTCCTGATGGAATAGAGGTTTTACTTGTCCTTGCGCTTAAGCAAATGCCAGTGTAGATGATGATTTTAACTCGCCCTGTACATACAAAGTAAGAGTTCGACCTCTGGACTTACTTGGATACTGCTGGACTACGCAGCTGGCTCTTAACTTTCTATGGACTCCAATATTCTTCGGCATGCACCGTCCTGTAAGTCTCACGAGCTTAACCAAAAGAAAATCTCTGCTTTGTTACAATTTTCTATATTATCGTTTTAATCTGATCTTTTCATTTGACGTCAGTGATTATAATGATGTGTGTGGAAAAACATGAATGAACATGGAGTCCTCTTTGAAACCAGGATTACAAGTTCGCATCAATGACCTTTGCCGTGCATTCGTCATTTATCTTTTTCAGGGTTACGCACTCGTAGAGATAGTGATACTATGGTTGGCTATCACTGTGACGATATTTCTCTTTTACCCGGTCAACCCCATCGCTGCCTACTTGTTGATCCCCTACATTGCCTGGTATGTATTCCAACATTATACTTTTTATCCCGTTAAACCCACCACAAAAGCATTATTTGATAAGAAACTGCTAGGAACCTTTGCCTGGACAACGGAAAATGTTACCCCTTTGGGTGGTTTTCCTCAGTTTCTCATATGCAAGGTCCTTCTCATTTTTCAAAAACGATTTGAATGATTCCGTTCATTTTTCTGCAAAGTATTTCACAGATGCTATTTGTTGTGGTAAGTTCATGGTTTTCGTGTTTGTGTGGAGCTGAAGTAAGTGTCGCACGATTTTTCGTAATGAGATTATGTGTGAATGAGGTGCTGATATGAAACTTACATTGCGAATACTGGAAATGCTAACACTAACCCACTAAGTATGTGTAATGCTGAGCAGGGTAACCGTTGCGACCTCGCTTAACTGGTACATCTGGTTGTACAACGGTGGCACGGACATCACCCAACCTTTGCAGTCCGAGAGAAGTGCATACGCCAAGTGACCCCTCGGAATGAAAATGATTCCGGTAGTAATGTATCACACTTGAGGTTGAAGTGGCTTTTCCAACCTTTACGTCCCTGCAATGTGTGTGCCAATATTTTGAAGATTATGGGCATTCGGGGTTTTTCTGCGTTATTTGATATAATGGTGCGGAGGGTGACTTTTACTTATGATACATTACACATCCTTCTTTCTATCCGTCATGTCGTTAGCGATAGGTATAAAATCGATTGCCCCGTGTGTCTCTTCTTGGTTGTTTGAAGATTAAAGATGTGAAAGGATCTAGAGATAAAGTATGAGTAGGGGCACCTCTGGGCTGCGGTTCGGTTGAACTCATGCTTATAGAAACATTGAAGAAATTTTGTAATCTGCATTTCACAAACACTTGATAGTGTAGGTGATTTTGCAACTGTTGGTTATCTAGGTGGGCTATGCAAAATGAGCCAGTATCGTGACATGATAATTGAAGCTATTTCAGTTGAAAATTAACATTAGAATTGTGTACAGGTATTTTTATAAATTAGATTTTAGATGTATGAAAATAAAGAAATGAGACTTTGAAAACAATGTTTTTTGAAGAAAACATTGAATTTCATTCTTGACTTCTTTTGTAGGATTAGTAGAAGTATTATCATGGCCAAGATTGTTAAAGATAGAATTATGCTTGAAAGGAATTAAAAAGAGTATTGAAGAGATTGTGAAGATTTGTAATAGTTGCAAATTTATTTTAAGGTTCTTAAGATGAAATATCTAAAGTTTATTTTTTTTCCACTCAAATTAATCTAGATTTGGAAAATACAATCCTAAAAGTCCACTTGTCAAATTAAGGGGTAATTTGCTACTTCTAATATAAAATACAAATTTTTACAATAAGAATAATCTATTTTTTTCAAGATAAAAATTAATATGTTGTTTTGAAGTCAATTAAAATAAATTGTCTTCAGTTTTAAATAATACCTAGTTAATTATATCTTATATTAATATTAATTAAATATAGTATAAATTCTTGTCTTAAATTCTAATAAGAATAATTATTAATTACTTTTATTTTGCACCACCTTTTTGGTTCTATCCAATAATATAAATGAGACTAATTTTTTAAGTAAATCCAATTTTATTTATATTCTTAAAAAATTCTTCAATTTCAGATTTAAACTTAAAAATTACATGTGCTACATTTACTTATTTAGACGACAATATTTACAAATAACAGACCTAATAGTATTAATCATAGTAACTCATCACCACATTCTTGTAATTTCCAACTCACACTAAGAAAATATAAAAAGAGAAATCATAATAGAATTATTAATCTTTTTATTGATTTAAACTCTTTTTATGTTTATGTTTCAATTATTTCTTCTACAAAGTACTAATAAGTAAAAAACACATAAACACATCTTCAAAAATCCAATGCTTTTAAATAAACAAATTATTTCATGAAATCAATTTAAAAAATCCAAAACTATTGATGAATATTTTACAAATAGTTCTATAATCTTGATTATGATGTATTCTTTACAAAATATTTAAATCTTATACTTCAATTCCAAAATAAATACAATGCATTAATTTCACTTATTTTGTTATTAATCTATATAAATAAAAATCTTATTGAATATATTAGAAAAAATATTTGTGTATGATTTAAAGAAAAATATAAAATAATATAAATTCATATTTATAATTTTTATATATATATATATATATATATATATATATATATAGTCAAATTAATATTTTTTATGATACTTATCAAAAGGTATATAAAACTTAGCTTCAACCTATTTTCTTCCAACTTTATAGACTATATTCTTTTATTTTGAATTATCTAATAAATGCAATATGTAAGAGAGTTTTTCACATTTCTTATAACAAACATCAAGCCTTCATAAAACTCTTGAAATTTATAACAAGAGAAGGTGCACTTAGTACAATAACTATCCAAAAACTCAACAAAACATGTGACTTTGCAATTCAAGCCAAAGTGCAAACCTTTACCAACAAATTTATGCAAACCAAGCTAGTTTTGCTCTAAACGGTCCAAGTAAACTCATTTTATACAAATAAAATTGGATTTACTTAAAAAATAACTAAGAATGCTACTCTCAAATACTTGCATCATGCTACAATTTATCCAATCCACCACCATCCACAGCAAATCACTCTCCCATCTAAGTTGGATTAGACAACAATCTATTTTCTAAAGAAAGAAATAAAGCAAAGCAATCTTTATCAATTACTCCAGCAATCATACCACTTACACCAAAGAGACCACCATCATAACATGTATGCAAAGAGGCAACATTATAACACAACCTTAGAATTTCATCCAACAAAGATAGTCTCGTTGAAGAATAATAATACATCCAACCTACGCAAAAATTAATATCAATGGTATCTTTGATATTATAGCTCTACAATCTAGATATTATAACTTTACAACATAGGTTCCAGATGTTTGAACATCACAAATGGATCTTTACACATCAATGCAGTATTTTTAGAGCACTATGTTATAATGAACTTGCTAATAAGGAATTTGTATTGGAATCCATGACAAATTGGGAGCAAAAGATGGCAACTCCAAATAATTTACAGATTTAGAGGTTCCAACACTAAGAAGATGAATTAAAAGAAATAGCAAAATTTAAAATCATCTATAAGTTGTATTAACAATCAAATTTATTATTTTATTTGATTTACAATTATATTACAATTTGAGTAGTGTTTTTTTCAAATAATAAGATAATCAATTTAGTCCTGATTTCATTTTTTTATTATTATTTTGTTATATGACATCCATTATTCCTTCAATAAAAGACTAATAGTGAAATGTTAATGAATTTAAAAATATAACATTTCACTATTAACATTTCTTGAGACTTGACCAACAAGTCATCTACTAGCTTGTATAATAAGAGATGAGATTCCAAGCTTTAGGTCTTACAATTAATATAAGTAAAAACAAGATTAAAGTCATCCTTCATCTAATCAACTCATATCTTAAGTTAATTCATCTTGTGGTCTTCAAGCCTTCTTGTTTTTAATATTAACCATTAATTATTGTCTTCTTAGATATTCCTTCTTTTTTATATACATCTTAGTCTTTGCTGCTTAAAACTATTCCTTCTTAATTGTGAATCTAAGTGTCACAACTTAAACTAAGTGTGTTGTGACATATATTTAATACATTAAATATTTTACTATCCTTAATCTATTAAGTTTAATTATAAATATTGGTCTTTATCAATTTTTTCACTCAATAATTGTGTTATAACACAATACTATCCATTTAACTACTAATAGGTGTAGAACTATTCTTAACAAGAATTTTGTCTACAACTTCTAAAATATTATATAAAAAATATCCATTTTTAAATATAAACAAGCCAAAAAATATACAATAAGAAAAATTATTATTTAGTTTTGATTTAACACAACAATATTTTTTTTCCAAATCAAAGATAAGTTTAAAGAAAAGTTTCTAATTCACAAGATTTTAGACTGCCTTACATCCAAATTATTAGAATTTGGACTTTTAAGACTTTTAAACATTAAGATTTATCTTCTTTTTCTAGCAATATACATTGATAACTTTGATATTTTTAATAATCAAAATAAAATCTAATCACTGTAAAATCCAAGGTTAATACAATCTTAGTTAATATATTAGAGTTATTTGATAAAAAAACGGCTTAATACTTAATACCAATCTAACATCTTAAAGGTCTACACTACTATGTTATAAGTAAGTATGTCTTATGAAATTATTTACAACAAAAAGTTTTAATTCCAATAATTTGAGCCATATCACATCCAATAAGTCCTACCAAATAAACGCCTTATAGATAGTTGTCAAACACCTTCACTTATATGCCTCCATTGTCAATATTAATAAACTCAAGTTTTATTACTTCTTTGATAATTTCCTCATAATACTTAGAATTCAAAATATTATTATATTTAAATAAATAAATAAATAAATTGCACTAGCCATAATCATTTCTATTCCTCTTATATCCCAAAAAAGCACTGCTTCCTATCTACACCACCTTCAAACAACAATAATCAAACAACATTCAGTTGTTGCATTTGTTTTCTTTCCCTATTTCAAAAGTCAAAATCAACCATGTACATACTTCTATCTCTTCTAACCTCAATATATCAAACACCATTTCCTAGTTCTAAGCCACATTTTGTCTCTATAAGCGGCAAATTTCTTAAACTCAATCATTTTTTTATCTTTACAATATAATCTCAATCATGGCAACTAATAGAGATTAGTACATAGCAACAAACACTTAAGAATTTGACGAGGCTAATACCACATCATACCATCCAAAGTATGCAAAGGACAATATACAATGGTGCAAGATCAAAATGTTAAAACTGAACCATCTTGCTACTTGAGTAGTTTAACTATTATGCAAGAAATGAAATACATTTATACTAATGATTTTGTGTACTAGCTATTAGAATCATATGTATATTTATATACAACTCTAGGAGAAAACTTAGATGATTTCAGTTTGACACTCATGATATTTTCAAATTTTAATATGGTTGAGGGTGGTAATTTCAATGTATATTCTCTTATAGTTGGATTCTTTTTAAATTATCTCATTGCAGATATATTCTTTCCTAACTTCTAATCAATAAAATTCTATCTTACAGAATGAATTTAGCATTCAGATACATTCTTGCAATCTAATTCTGTTTTTACATCAAAGAATTTTCATGTTTAGAATATAGGATTTTCAATATTTTTCAGTGTTTTTAATTTTATAATAAAGAGATGATGTGCTATTTAAGGCTTCGATTTAAACGGATTTTTTAAATTTTTTGATACAATATGATATCAGTTTGAAGGGAAAATTCATTGGTTTAAAATAGCTTCTTAAAATCAATGCTAATTTGTGCTTCCACGTAAGGAAATAAGCTACATCACACTTATCTGCATCTAATTCTCTTTAAACGGGCAGTGCTAAATATATAATTTCAAAATATCAAAATCAAAATATCAAAATAGTGCCCATTAAAAAATGATTTATACTGGCGCTTGTCAGAAACTGAATAACATGACTGTTAAGAGATGTGGAACAAAGAAAGGATTGTGCTTAAGAAATGGATCAGTCAAGATCGCTCATGCAATTACCTCGACCGACAGATGCCCTAGGTGACGACAAAGGACCTGGAAATCGGATGTTGGAAGAGATGAAGTGCTTATGACCAGGATCTGTCCTGTCTTGATCCCGGCAAGAGCTTAAAAATCGAAGCAGGATGATTCACAGAGCAACCTTTTCTATTGTCGAAGGACGACTCCTTCGAAAAAAAATTGTAACCAGTTGAGAAAATTGGTAAAATAAGTCCACATGTATAGATCAGAACAAGACAGATGCGAGGGCATCCCCTGATGGAACTACGTGAAGGCACCGAAAGAAATGTTTTGTGCGAAAGAATTTGTTAATTGCTCAACAATCTCAAGAGGAGACTAAGGTAAAGCCACACTAAATTCGTCTGGAACCAACCAACGTCAGTTGGGTAAGGCAGCAGGTGCACCCCTATTCCCTTGACTGCTGGAGGTGGTGTAATTACCTTCAAATTTTGCAATGGCCCGAATAGGGGCTCTGGTTTTCAACAGCATTTCCTCGTACTCTGCTTCAGGGTCCGAGAGTGCAGTGACTGCTCCTCCAGCACCAATGCAAATTTCTCCTTCAGAGAAGACCAATGTCCTAATAACTATATTTAAATCAAAAGCAGAGTTAAATGAAAGGAAACCTACCGTGCCCGAGTATATCCCTCTCGGTCCACTTTCTATTCCATCTAAAATTTCCATAGTCCTCAACTTCGGTGCCCCAGTCATTGAACCTCCCGGAAAAGCAGCCTTGATACATTGGATGGGAGTCACATCATCCCTCTTCTTGCCCCTCACTGTACTCACAAGAGTATGCACGGTGGTGTACGATTCTACAGCCATGAGGCTGGGCACATGCACAGAACCTGGTTCCGAAACTCGTCCAAGGTCATTCCTCAGAAGATCTACAATCATCAGATTCTCTGCAAAGTCCTTCTCACTGGAATCACACCAAAAACAGACCTTCAATAAGTTTATTAACAAGCAAGCCCAGGTAAACTAAAGCCAGCTATCTACGAGCAAGAATTAGGCCTCGTGAGAACAAAGCAAAGTGGAAACCATGCAACCAAAGTAATCATACCTGTGTTGCAGCTCATAACGGAGTCTTTCATCTTCAGCTGGTGAGCTTCCACGAGGGAGAGTTCCCTTAATGGGTTTAGCTTCCAATGTTCCCTCGCGATCAAGCCGCAAGAAACGCTCAGGAGAAGAACAGCACACTTGAGGACCATGTTCACCAAAATGAAGCCAGGCCGCGTATGGGGCAGGATTAGTCTTACGAAGAGTAAGGTAGAGCCCCAAAGTGTCAAGATCTCGCATTTCTCTCCGAAGCTGTGTCGTTAAGCAAACTTCGTAGCTCTCTCCATCCTTGATATAACGCTTACACTCGTTAACGTCATTGATGTAAGTATTCCTAGATTTCTCCAACGTAAAAGGAGGAGTAAACTTCTCCTGTCCAGTACTAATACTAGAAAAGAATTGAGATGATTGCCTCCTCTCAGTTGCTAGATCTAGACCATTCTTTCCCAAGCTCGAGATTCGCTTTACGGTCGTTGCAACCCACTCTTCTGCAGCATTTTTCTCACGATCGAATGGAGTAGACCACATTCCCATCTTTTCTGAACTGCCGTGGCCATTTAGAGAGCCATTCGACTTGGAAACACCACTATGTGTTGCTGAACCATTGCTGGGTTCCGCCACCGGGGAAGGGTGCCCGTTCTGGCCGTGATTAAACGAATTACTATTTCTGGTGCTTCCGTTGCCTGCAGTAGCACTTTCATTGTATGTGCATGTCCTGCGCTGGAACAAGGCCAACACATAAACATCATTGTTACTGTGATCAATCACCACTGCTCTGTCGGCCAAGAAAAGCGCAGCATCCGGTAATCTAGACTTGTGTCGATTCGATCGAACTCCGCATTCCACTTTCAACTCATATCTGCAAAGAATGCAAGTTCAATAGTCATAAACTTTTTTTGAACCAATCTGAATATGTAAAAGCAAAGGTGTTGATTCAACACTGAAGCACATCATAAACTAAGGAGAGAAGACGTGGAGGATGATTTAGTCACGAAAAAGGTAACATGTGCCTCTGTTTTCGATGACAATTTAAAAATCAAGTAGAAAAATGAATAAAGACGCAAAGGAGTTCGCCGAAAAAATAACATTGATCTAATATACGAGGACTCATTAACCCTCCCAAAGATCTTCAGACTTTGAATGTAAAGAAAACCCACCCTAAATATCCAACAAAGCCCCCACAAAAGTGGAAGGGCAGGCCCTCGTAATCAGCCTCTGCGCAGGAACGCAACTCCATTTCCTGCATGCCCCTTAGTTAGAAATTAGTGACTAAAATTTGCGTCCCATCATTTTCGATACTTTACTCAGATATTATAATTAGTAATATCTTGAAAGCTGCTGACATAACAAAAACATGTTACCCCGCGTCCATGATTATGAACAGAAGCAATTATTTGTATAGTTATCGAAGAGGTATTTCTATTAAAACCAGTCGTGACAAACGTTGCAACATCAATCTTTGATCCAGCGATATCTCATGTACCTTATCTAAGTAATTAAGAATTCCGTCTTCAAGAAAATGCTCCTTTTTATTGCCAAAAGCATCTTCGATTTTAACAACTCCACTTGCACCTGCCCCCGACCTGTTGCATTTTCCTGGGGTGTAAGAGACAAAGCTGAATTGCAAAAGTAATGTATAAGAAGAAGCTGCATCTGCCCGGAAAAGTGTGTTGGCTCAGACGGGTCCATCAAAACTTTCAATATTTTCATCGTAGAATTCTTACAAAGAGTATGTCAAGCGCCTCCACAGAACACCTCCTCTACCTCCCATGTAAGAAAACCGCGCTCCACCCTGGTTCACAAAAGGAGTTCACTCTTTTCCATCAGGAGGTGATAAGACTGTAAAACTGTTTTTCACCATAGTTGCAACATTCACAGCAACTAGTAACTGCAGACATGTCCGAAAGACCTCATGAGCATCACGAGTATCACGAGTATCATGGACAAACCTGGTCCATTGTAGAACTGTCAAGCCAGAATGTATCTTGAGCGGCTTCCTTTCCAAATAAATCACAAAAGATATTTTCAGATCCTCCAGCTATTCCAGCGTTGCCTGGAAGCTTCTCCCAGCAGACCCTCATCAGAACATGGCTTGAATCGTCACTGGACTGTACTGCTGAATCCGAAATTCGTGAGTCATGCAGGCACTTCGTAAGATCCACTTGATTAGTGGGTAACACAGATCTCCACGGTGCTTGAGCGCTCTGTCAAGAAAGAAACATGGTCATCCATAAACATACACATCTCGTAATATGATGGCCAAGTCCCAAGCTCCACTTCACGAAAAGCTTCGTAGGTCAGATTGATAACTGACCAACAGATAATTTTTGGACTAAGAGCCACGGTGAATTCTGGAGATTTAATAATCAAAGCAAATCAAGGATAAGTTTACTATCAAACAGCACAGAATTAAATGCAGGGAAAGAAAATTTACTGTATTAGTAGGTTGCCAGATCTGATTTCGCCAATATTCCTGGGTAATAGTGCGAAAGTTCTCCAGAATTTGCTTTCCGTAAGCTGTAGCAATACTTTCTGGATGAAACTGCAGCGTAAATTCGCACCAAACATTAAGAACAAAGGTAGGGTACATATGTAGATCCTTGAACACATCGTGGAGCAATAAGAGGTACCAGACGAGAGCTACATTGTAATATGTCTACAGTTGAATACATTCTCAGCACTAAAAACCTCCCAAAAGTGAGGTAAAAGGGCACCTGGACTCCGTGATGTGGTCGATACTTATGAGACATACCCATGAGCACAATCTCTTGACTTCTACGAACATCAACAGTTGGGCGCCCTGCCATCCAATATTCACCCTCCGGAAGGTCAGACGAGGATCCGTTTGAGCAATCAACCCCAGGAGCATCTGCAAGCATTGTCCAAGCTGTTGGAACCAGATCCTCCGGCAACGAAGCTGGGTCAATCACCAGTGAGTGGTAGCGCACAACCTGCATGGGGAGGGGTAACGTTTTAGAAGTCCACTCCTCTGAAAGTTTAAACTACTACAAGATCAACATCAGGCATCATTGCGGTAGATACACCAGAACCTACGACGACCAGCAGAAGGGAAAGTCTAGCATGCTGTAACAAGCTGTCATTCATGTGATAAATGTGAAGGACTCAGCTTCTTCAGTATATATATAATTGCAGGATACCCTTGGAATGTGAATGCAGGTTGCAATTTTTGACAATAATAACATTCAAATCAGTTAGAGATAGGAAGCTTCAAGGACTTTTTTTGATATGCAGGTGCAGATTGTATTGGTCCCCCTTTTCATTGAACAAAGGGGACAGGAAAAAAGCGTGTCAATGCAATAAGACCAAGCAAGAAGACCAAATTGCGATGTTGTATAGCACAACCTTAAATCCAGAGCCAGAACCAGACGGAATCTGGTTAAAAAGTGGATGCCCATTGTGTTCAATTTCGCTGCCAATGTCCAACAAATCAGAAGATATCAGCAAGTGAAAGAGGATTTCAATTATCTGAACAGACTGTAATGGTTTCCCGGAGAATACTAACATTACCATACTTGCCTTAATCGATCACTTCCCAAATATTTACATAGCAAGAAAAAAGTGTGAAAGGAAAAGAAAATAAAAGAATGCAGAAAAGTAAAAGAAGAAGGAGAAGAAGGAGCAAAGCAGATTATCATGGATAATCATCAAACTAGTGGAGAAATTATACCTTAAACGACCGTGAACAGGTTCAGGAGCATGCACAACCTTACCACCATGACAGCTTCCCAGAGCCTAAATTCCGGTAGAACCAACCAGTGTGTCAGAAGTTAAGAATTCACTTTCAGAAGGATTGCAGCACTTCATTAACTTGCTGTTCAAGCAAAACTCAACCCGGTGGTTGAAAGAAAGTCTATGAAACTAGAGTATTGAATGGTGCATCTTCTTTCCAGATAGACACAAACTCAACCTTCACAACGAACACACCAGGAACTCTAAAATTTAGCGGAAGGAATTAAAACCTGATGGCCCAAACAAACTCCTAATATCGGTATATCCGAGCACTCCTGAAGCAGCCGCATACTTATTCCTGTATAAAAAGCATAAATCAATAAAATTAACGCTAGAGCAGATTTCCAGGTCTGCCAATTCCGATCTCCATTCTAAAAGCCTAAATGCTAGCCGATCAGCACCATATTCACTAGTCTTCGTTAAAGATGGACACACTAAAACCTTGACTCTCTACTAGTCGACGCTCGAATCATTCAGTGATGTGGTTGATTCAACGGAAATTAAAAGAGTGATTTGTACCAATGTCTTCCGGTCGTGTGGGAGATCCTGGACCCGGTGAAATAACGACATTATGAAATGCCCGCTCCTCGTATAACAGCTTACGCAATTGCTCAAATGTAATTTCATCATTCTTCACCACCACGGGAGCAGCTGTTTTTCGTTTGACGTTCAGATAAGTCGTATTAGTATAAGAACTCCATTCTCTTTTTCATAATAACTTCCACCAATAATTCAGCTCCCAACGCAGCACAAATAAAAGGTGGTAGACAAAGCTCGGATAACACACTATTTCTGAAGGAAGTTAGTGTACAAAAATAACTCTAGTCAAGATCAGTAGACCCATCCTCTAACTTCATCAAAAAAATAAAAAATAAAAAATAAAAAATACTCGCTATCCTAAACACGGTAGAATGGTCCTGTGAATAGCTACCAAATCTTTGATTCCAACCATATCCGTAAATTTTAATATGACGAGCACTGACTAAATTCCAGAACCAAAGATGAGTGCACCCCAAGTAACAAAACCTCAAAGAATCCGAGTTTCGAAACTCGGCTGGTTGTAACTCTAAACCCTAACTCGAGAATCTTAAAGCCTCGACTGTCATGGACAGAACGCTACGTGCCAGTGCATTGTTTACTCTTATGTGATCATTGGCTCTCAGTCATACCAAGAACCGAAGGGCAGGAACTCTTACGAGCGACGAGGCTCAAATCTGCCTAGAATCCTTAAAACAGAGGGAAATTAAAATGATCAAGTAAACCCAAAAGGGAGCCCTTCGCCGCAAGTCTATTGCCCAATTGCAGTTTTGAAACGGCAAGAACTGCGAGAATTGTGAGACTAACCTCCGTTGATGACGGATAGAAGCTGAAAAAGATTGTAGGTGTAACTATCATAATTGTCCAGTATTAATGTTCTGATAGGTTCCCGTGCGGCTCCGCCATGCGTCTTTCTCACACCGCTTGAACACTCTGCCCGCATACTGCGACTGAGGCTGTACAATCGCCCCTTCCCAACATTGCGTACAAAAAGAGGAGCACCCAAATTTGATGCCCGATATCGCGACAAGGATCCCAGCCTTTCCACTTCCACGGAAGGTTTTAACGCAAAGCTCCTGGCGCGAGTGACCGGCTTGTAGCTCAAATAACTCGCTGCCATCTGAGTCATCTCCAGGTGCAACGACCTCAAGCTCCATTTTCAGACCCCATCCTGACAACAACCTAAAACCTTGCAGAATCCTTCACCACCACACGCTTCCGCTTCTCCCACTACACGCGATCCGCTCCAAAAACCCCCAAAAAGTGCACCACCACCACCACCCCCACAAAGGGGCCTGTAATCGAAACCCGCCTCGCTCTCGCCTGCTCTTTCCTGATGCAGGCACGAATGTCCAAGACGGTTTTATTTCACTCGACAGGGAAAAGCCCTCCACCAACTTCAATTTCCATATTTACAAAAAGGGGAAACAGAAAGAAAACCAAAACTAAATAAAATGAGTAGAAAAAAAGACGACGACGCTCAAGCATCTGGATTCCGAACTAGGATCCCCGTCCCCTCACGCTACAAACAACGAAATCTCGCAGGACAGATTCTTTCCCCTCCAGCTGCGCTTGCTTTCGAATCTCTACAGCATTCACTCAAAATTGGTGCACGGAAGACCACCACGACAGGCCCACCAAATACTCCCGGCCGCTACCAGCGCTGGGGAATATACCCACCAAACCTCCTCACCACGTACCAGCCCCTCAGATCTCGTCCGCTCTCTACAACTGCAGCGCATTCCGCTGCCCCTTTTTAGGGAATCTCCAAATCCCCCTTTCCAATTCCGGCAACCCAATTTCCAAATCCGCCCTGGCCAAGCCTACAGCGTCTGCTACGTAGGGCTCTGCCTCAGGGGCGAAGAAAAAGCCTCCATAACCTGCAGTTACTAACTTACGATTGATTGAATCCTCCCTCTCAGCGTCGCCTCCCCTCCTCTTCACAAATCCTTCCTCACTGAACGGTCCGATTCGGTTCGATGGGTCGATCTGATCATTCGGGTCTTTCTGTTCTTTTTATTCCCGCGGCGTAGAATCTAGACCGGCACTTTATTATTCTGTGGCGGCGTCGCATGGGCTCGTAGATTTTCCGCTCCGTCGAAGGGCGGCGATGACGTGGGCGCGCTCGCTTCGCTGCAAAGAGAAGAGTGGCGAGAGGCGGCCTCGCCCTTCTCATCCATTTATTCATTCATCTTTATGTGGATGTTTATCATTCGTCTGCGGTCCCTTGTCTGAGACGGGGTGTCTCGAATGGGGGTGGCCACGGAGTAAAGATAAGACAGAGCAAAATTAAAATTAAAGTAGAAAAGTGTGAAAAAAGGGAACATGGATCAGTTGGAGAGCAATTTTAGAACTGGCGGGATGTGATGATGATGATGATTATTCTTCTTATTATTATAATTTCTTCTCGTTATTTGGGTTCTTTTTTTGATAACCTTTTTTTTTTTTGTTGTTGTTGGGTTGGGTGTTGAATAATAGTTGTGCTGGTGAAATCTTAACATGACTGTGAAGACAAATTTGCTTTGAAAAAAAGCATTATTGATGTGTGGTTCGTTGATTTGATTGTTTTCCAAGAGTGTGTATGTTATTTTATTATATTTTACTTTACGATTAATCTTGTGGTTCTTGATTCTTAAAACAATTTTTTTAATAATAATAATATATATAGTAACTTCTTTATTTATATATATATATATATATATAACAACTTGGATATGAGACAAAGAAGTTTTCTCATTGGTTGTGAAAAAGGGAACGTGAGAACAGAAGGAATACTTGGCTTTGTGGGGCTCTATCCCCAACACCACAAGTATTTGCTAGTATGTATGTGTATGTGTATATTTATATATAAATGTATTCTGATAGAAATATGTGTCATTATCACATGAAATTTTTAAAAATTGTTGTCAACTATCTGTAATACTTAAGTTAAACAAACATTCAAGGTTTTAAATCTAATTTTGGACACAAGATTGTCACCTGAATACTTTTCTGAGGTAATCTTGCTGCTTTTGTCATACCCTTGTGAAAAAATCAAACCAGAATCCAAGTCTATCTCACATAGAGTCCAAACAGACAATTATACATTCAACAATGAATTTGTAGTAACATTGAAATTGATACTGCTGAATTTTTAAAGAAGTCTTATTGCAATTAACCATTGTCTATGTGATTATTTTATTTGACTTATTTTGCAACTTAGACTAGTTTATTTTATAGAAATTTCAAGGGACCTGAAGTCACATTCTTGTGCCAAAAACATTTTTAGATTTGATCATGCATTTAATAATAATTTTAAAAACTATATTGAAGTAAAAAAAAATATATATATATATATATAAGTAGTTGTTAAATTTTGGGAGACATGGAATGAGGGACAAGGATAGAAAATAGAGGACATGTATTGGGAATGGAGGACAAGGGACATGGAACAAGGGGTGGAAATGAAGATGGACAAAATCGATTATGAGATGGTAATGTGAGATGTGGATTTAATGATGATGATATATATATATATATATATATATAATTAAATTGATCTATGAATTTATTAAATCAACCCACCTATCATCATTGGTTGAAGATCCAACCATTTTTCATTAATTTTTGACAAATGCAAATCCAACAATGAAGAATTTTTTGATGATGGTTAGGATGGGTAAGTCAATTTAACGATTTCTTATATATATATATATATATATATATATATAGAAATATTAAATAGACCCACCTATCTAGACCATCATTGCACCTCTCCATTCTCAGCTCCTGTTCTTCCAATTCCTAGCTCCATTTTCATTGCTCGTCCCCAGTCTCGTCCCTTGTCCATGTTCCTCCTCCCTTATCCCCATGTCCTTGTCCATGTTCTCGTCTCCCATCTCGACTTCCGTCCCAGTTCCATCCCCCATTCCGACCCCCAGTTCCCATTCTTGAGTAATCGTTAGTGGATTGTTTCTCAGTATCACGCTTCCTGATCAGATCCTTGCATCTGCTGGTCTGGACTCGTCCTCAAAAACAATGATGCGATGAACTTGTGATCACAGTGGGACTGCAGTGGACGCTGACATTGAACCACAGTGAAACCTTGATGGACAGAAACTTGAATGGAGGCGCTTATTATGGAAGGACCAAACTACGCTGGGTAGAGGAGCAGGAAGACCCTACTCGTGAATAAACTAAAATAAAGCTGATGTTTTAGAAGATTGACAAACTACGACACATCAATTGCATCTCGAGCAATTGGTAGGTTGAACATAACCATCAGACAGATCAAAACACGAAACACATTCAATGATAGTGTTGCGACAATTTGAGACACGGATTGATGTACACAATCAAAAATAGAAAAACATCGCCTGTCGAGCTTCCTTTGAGTCCAACGAAAGAATAGTAAGTTAACTGAGAACTGAAAGGTTTTAGTTGTTGATAATGAGTCAACTTGAATGAAGTTTTGAACCCTGATACAAGGAGGCTGACTGAAATGGGAAGAATATTACAAAGAAAGATGCGAGAGATGCACTGGAAGCAGAGAGGAGGGACACAATGGTAGTGCTTGACAGATTTCCTTCACAGGTTTTAATTCGATGGAGACAATATCTTGCACAAGCTCCTCCACTAATTCCTCAAGAGGCATGCTCTCCAGCTCACACCCCACATCACCAACTTCGACACTGAAATCAAGCCACTGGAAACTCTTCCGCGTGAAATCCTTTTGCAGAACTGCATACAGTGCGTCGTAAGCTGCACTGGTAGGCCAATGCATGTCCTTCAATTCATTCCAGACGTCGTCAATAAGACGCTGGCCACGAGGCATCCTGCGTACAACAGGAGTGCCCCATGGTTGTGGATTCAGGTAAGGGCTCATCTTTCTTTCTAAGATCTCATTCATGCAGCTCCTCTGTCTGCATTTCCTGTGCAGATTATCCCCCCCCCCCCACCTCTCTCTAGTTTTGGCGTCTCTACTCACTGAGCTTGAATCTGTTAAGCATAAGTTGACTGATTTTCCTACAACATAGGAAAATACAAGTGAACAATGACACTGAAAAGGCAGCTGCACCATTCAACTTAGCTTAGCAAGATCAAGCAGTTGGTTGAGGTGAGGCTTTTGAATCAATTCGTACTTCTGCAGCACTTAGTCAAACGAGTAAGAACTGAACCTTTGGAGAAAAACCTTTCCAAAATGGTAGCAAATCATTTGCCGAATCTTAGACATTTTCTCCGACTATAGTCGGTTGCCTAATTGAAATCTTCCAAAGAAAGTACTAAACATACACAATAGCCACCCAATGGTGAATATCAGTATTTGCTTGCATTGCCTCATGGCTTGCTCTTCTTTGGCTTTCCAATTCCCAACTTCCACCTTTCAACATCCCTCCATGTAAATACACAATTGAGGTTTAAATAAACTTGATTGACTCATCCACAATTGCTAATTGGTATGACTCATCCACCATGTAAATACTTAATGAATAGTTTCCAACACTTAATTAAAATCTATTTTGAAGCTCTCATAAAACCTCTTCTTAGTTGAGAAATAATCTACAAAAAATTATTTGAAACTAGGGATGGGGGATTGGAATGAAGGATGGAGATTAAAACAAAGGAAAAGGACTGAGATGGGAGATAGGAATATGGACAGAGGATGGAGTTGGAGGGATCAAGACTAGGGACATGCAATGAGAATAGAGCTAGGAATTGGAAAATTGGGAGGTGGAAACGGGAAGGTAGAATGATGGTCTAAATAGGTGGGTCTATTTAATATTCCCTTGTATATATATATATATATATATATATGTGTATATATATATATATATATATATGTGTATATATATATATATATATATATATTGATTTTTCTCTTACAATAGAAGCTATAAAGAATGATGAAGAGATATCACTAATCAAATGAATTGTGATAATAACCTCTATTAATTGACTACTAATATATATATATATATATATTATTTCTTTTTGGCAAATATCATATCCAAAGATAAAAGAAGTTCTCAATTGTTAGAACTTCATTCTATTAGTTTGTTTGTTTATTTGCTTACTTACATCTCCAAAATCCATTCACTAAAAATTCCAGTTCCATGTCAAGATTATTAAAAACACCAAGTGATTCAACATCAATAGAAATAGAAACAATACTTGTCTCAAACAAAGAATGAGATTTTTCTTCAACATCCTCAAAGCTAGTCTATTCCAAAATCTTAAACCAAATATTTGAATCAAATCTACCATTAAAGAAATCAAACTAAGAAACCAAAATACAACAACTGAAATAGTCTACACTTTTAGGTTTTAAATTATATTAATCCTCTCAATGTGTCTCTATGCTGGTTTCTTTCATTGCTTTGATTCTTGTGGACACCTTCACATCCAAAGAACTTTCTTTCATTTTTATTACCAAATCTACGAATATCCTTGTAAACTACATGTATTTAAGGTGCAACTATCCTATGGTTGTTTTAATTATTCTTATTATCTTTACTTGATTTGAAGTTTATTACAATTAGAAATGATATTTCTTCATGCAACTTTTTTCATTTGGTTTAATGGTTGGTGTCTTCATGTCTTATTTCTGCATTAATAATGTGTACTAACCATTTTTTTATTTGATTTTATTTTTATTATAATCATTTGTCATTAGAAAACTATCAATGACTTGGTCTTTGCTCATTTAAATATATCTTACGAAAAATCAAGTAAGGATTAGAATTAATTATCAATGAAGATTATGAAGGGTTAGAATTAATTATATATTAATCACATCTCATTGATAAAATCTTTGTAAATGACATCTCTATTATCAAGCCTTGCGTCAAGTGATGGAATTAGCTATGCGTCATAGATTTTCCATTTAAGTCTCTTACCAATTGAAACATTTTTAGTTACATTCTACATTTTTAGGCCTTATTGTTAATTTTTTGTTGTTGTTGTTGTTGTTTTCTTTAATTTTTACCTTTCATATGGCTTTTCCATTATATTTATTCTCTTTATACTTGATTTTGGCATTTGTATGGTTATTATACTTGCAATGAATCACATCTAATATGCTAACATGCACCAATATAAGGACTATTTTTACACTATAAATGGACAAATGTATTCCTAGATTGGCTTGATATTATATGATTGAACCATTAAGATTAATTTTTCACAACTAATCATTTGTTATGATTCTTGAACATGCTAAAAATCCCTATAGTAGTATCAATTTATTCTTTTTTTTTTTTTTTTTTTATTTATTTATTTCTTATGTAGAACAACTTTTGGTACTCACAAGTACCACAAGCTAAATGATTATAAGCTTTAATATATTCTAAATATATAAAGTAAATTTATATATATACATATACATACACATACGAAGACATTGTGCATTTAATATTCTAAATGAATATAAATATATAAGAAAAATTAATCTATGAAACATAGTTGTTCTCTTAATATCTCACGATAATCATATTTTTATTAATTTAATATTTTAGAATAATAAATAAAAATATTTTACATATAACCAATACTTATTTAAAGAAAATATAGTTTTAATATCTTATATATCAATTTGTCTTTGAAAACATTCCAAAATAGCTAAGTTAGACAATACATGTTTAATATACATCTTGTATTAATATTCATAAAATTAAAAATTAAAAATTGCATTAGAATGTTTAAGAGATGATTTCAAAGCCCAGTTTGTTAACAAGTCCAAGTGTAACAAAAAATAAATAAATAAATAATACACTATAATCTAGATACACATACATTGCATTTTTTTTATAGCATAGTAATAAATGAGTTCCATTTTTTAACAATTGGAATGATGTAAACAATTCGTTTACATCATTTGAATGAGGATTCTTCTGATTATAATAATTTTTAGATATTTTTTAATGATAAAATAACTATAAATACATAAAACTAGAATTATGAAAATATAGAATATTACATCATTGCAATTGTAGAAATTTCTTTTATTATAAAAACAAACTTACATGTATTTTTATCATTATAAAAACTATACTTTGGCATATTTTATTGTTCTTTAATAACAAAAAAATATTACGTAATAAAAAAATCAGATCAAGAATAAAATGATTGTAAAATATACATAATAATGAATATATTGTAATAAATCTATCAAAATTATTATACATATGCAACAACAAAATTAAATGTATACATGAACACAATTATTTGGAAATAATATGTACCATAAAATTTTAATAAGCATGTTAATCTCTCTCTCTCTCTCTCTCTCTCTCTCTCTCTATATATATATATATATATATATACATATATATATATACATATATTAATGAAAATAAGAAGAATTTAGATAAAACATTTTATTTATGTCTATATATATTTATTTATTTATTTATGCCAAAAAAAATTAATAAGAACTAAACCAATATTTTTGAATTTTGTTCAAATATTTTTTTTTTATTCTTTAATTATTTCTATAAGTGCCTAAATGAATAAATAAATAAAACTTGCATTATCATCTTTTATTTCCCAAATTTGTATATTATCTTCTGTTATGATTTTAGCTGTTTAGCCATTAATTTTTGTTGATCTGCATCATTCTTTTAGTTATATTTTTCTAGTTACTGATACTTCCTATTCTTCATTCATCTAAATTCATACCATAATTATTGATGGACATCAATATATTTCTTGATCTTCTTAACTTCTATTGTATTGTATAAGAATAAAAATAATAAAAATGTCTTAGTACATGAGAGATGCAAAATACAATATGATATTCAACAATGTAGTTTCAATGGTTGATTTTTAGGAGAATTTTGTTATCCTTAAGTATAGAATTTGAAAGATTCTACTTTAGTTCAAATATTAGTGTAGATAAAATTAGTGTGTGCAAACCCTTAGGAGATGTAATGTTTAAACTTGAATATTGCTGTAAATGCAAAGTTTGATACAGACATCCAGATTTTACAAGATTTGGATGTGTTTACTGATTTTCTCCATTTTACAAGTCTAGTATGCACTGCTTGTGCATTTATCTTGTTATTGAAACAAATCAAATTTCACAAAAAAATAATAATTATAACTGGTTTACTCAATCATATTTATATTTTAATATGAATACTATAAAAAATTAGTAATTATTATTTTCGTAAGAGGAGAAAAATATAAAAATATATATATATATATATATATATATATATGTATGTATATTTCTCTCTCTTACCTTTTCTCTTTCTTTCTTTTATTTCTTTCTTATTTAATTATTTTAATTACTTATTAAATTCTTATTCAAATTCAAGGACTTTTCTGCTTTTTTCTTGACCCATCTTCCTAAATAAGAAAGAAAGACAACTTGTTCCTACACAAATTATTGCAATAGAGCATGCATTCTTCTTGTAAAAAGGCAGTTTTTTTCCAAATTGCACATTACGTATTATTTGACTCTGTAATTTATAATCGTTTTTACATCATTTAGCTATTGGCCGTCAGTAGAGGGTTACATTTCTAGAATTGTACACTGTAATAAGAAAAGAAGAGGACTGGCTGAAAATGAGACATTGCAACCAAAATTATTTCATTTTCTTTGAAAGATTTCATGAATGGCAACTTAAGAAGTTGGTTATGGAATAAGGTGCCATTCATTGAAAAGTATACTGCTCTCTTCTCATCATATCTCTCCGTCCCTCTTTTTGTTTTACAACCCTTCAGGTGTTCAAAAGTTCCATGTACTGATCCTTGATCACTATTTCAACTTGTTCAATAATATCATAGCAAAAATCGACGTCCGAGAATTCTGAGTCCATAATCTCATTAAGGTAAAAGCTTCAGGTGACGGTGCTCAACTGTTAAGACTGCATGACAATTTCATGGTAGAACGTTACGACCTCACTCTCGTCAATAAGACCTATGTGTCTAGGAAAATGCATAATATGTGGCACAGCAGACCATGAAAGTTCCCATGGAACTCCTGCAATAGAGCAACGATTTCATATTGAAATGCCATTTTCGCTTCCTCGTGTGTTGAGCTCATAAACATCAACATCCACACACTGGTACACATCGTCAAGTTCCACATTCTTAAGTTTTCTCATAAACAGGTTAGATTTCTCCATTGCCTTCATGAAGGTCTCCTCAGCTTGCCGGTTCCTCCCATAAGCCATGAATATCCTAGTATGATTCCCTGAAAGAGCTTGTAAAGTCAATATTAATGGCTGAACAGCATCATCATAGTACATTAGATCTGTAGCTAGTACCACATCAAAATCGGATTCTTCGAGGGCAAGTTTGTTGCCCCACGTTAGCGGAGCTGTCGATGCGACATCGGTCAACTTATTCGCAACAATGTTGCGTTCCAGTAAAGAGAGGTTCTCTGGAAAATCGGTGAGAACCGTTTTCTTGGCTCCTAAAACAGCTGCTGAAATACCTGTGTTGATGAGATGTGATTAGTGCTGGAAGAAAAACACCTGCTCTGCGGCACCTCGACATGATTGGGAATCCCCCTCTTCCACTTCTCTCGCCCCTAGTCTATACTGTCCTCTAACGAGCCAGTAGTTTTACCATGCAGGCTTGATTGATTTGAAAACCAAATGCTCTGTGGTGCAAGACCAAAGCCGTGCTTGGAATGTGTAACATAAAAATCATGACAACTGAAAAGTGAAAACAAGATAATCATTCTATGCAAAAAAATGTAGCTGTTTAATCTGCTCTTCGAGAAATAGAAAGTCCAGTTGAGAGATAATACATAGGTAGTTGACGGTCTTCACAAGAGACTGCCTCTTTACGGATGCTTCTGCATCAATGTAGAGCTTCAACGACCACAGAATAAATGGTCCCAAAACAGAGGTGCAGCTGGTAAATTACATACCTGCTAATCCGCAGCCTGCCCCCAACTCGATACATTTCTTTCCGAGCACTGTTTCTGGGCACTTCTCTAAGTATTTCGCTAACACAATTGCACTATCCCACACTGGAAAACAAAACACCCGAACTCAGTGCATAGTTCTGATGTCCACAAAGGAGACTCAATACAAAAAGCTCTTAGGCCGCAGTTAGCAAACCCCTGATCATAATCGCGACATAATTCATCATAAACTCGGACTATTATCCATAAACATAGACACTTCTAATATTTCCTCAGGGAACACATCCGTTTCAATATTTAAATAAAAAAAGAAACAGAGAGAAAAACAAATGCACTTAGTTCCAAGAACAATTTTCATGCTGGATGCAGCAGCTCGGTGGGAAAAAAAAAAAAAAAAAAAAAAAAAAAAAAAACATCGTCCGGTATCTAAAATTGAATTGGATACCTGCCTGTTGAAGCAAAGCCCTTTGAAGAGAATGGGGCCTGGTGAAGCACAAGAACGCGGGCCTCACCAGCTACTGAAACATTGTGATGATATGGATTTTTAAAGCGATCCTTGTCTGGCCTGCATCAAAAGCACGAAGGTCAAAAGAACGTAATTTTTCATACGAGAGAACCTTTCAACTGAAATCATATTCTCATCACTTTAACATGAAAGGGATACCACATGTTTTCCAAATTACCACTCGAAACTATTTTATTCGTGAATGTCCAAACTCCTTATGCCTATGCATACCCCCTCAAACCGCTTGAAAATCCCCTCTTGTCCCCACAAATAAAGATATGTGACGTGAATCGGAAGGTTGAGACAGACGAGGATTGCAAGTTCCAAGTGAATGATGTAGAATCAAATATAAAACATATATCATTTTTTCCAGAATATGATTAAGCTTATTCTCACTTCGAAAAAGCACATGATCCTAGTAATGCTTTTCTAGGTGGCATACGGAAAAACAGACCACTACGGACTCTGAAGTCCAGACTGTTCACAATGTGTTTATCCATGGCATCTGGAAACTTCACTTAAAAATCGAAACGGAAGATTGCAATACCACTGTTAAGCATGCTACAGAAACTTCGAGAGGTGTTACGAGTCAAAAAAAATGAGGAGCTGCTTAAAATTAGTCACGAAAGATCTATACGACCTTATTAGCATAGACTTACTGTAGCCCTCGGGCTCTACCAACGAAAGTCTGCTCAAGAGCACAGCATTTGACCAAAATTGGAACGTGGCTAGAACGTTCACGAACAAAACTAGAGCTGTACATGTTTTCATTCGACTTCCTCAACTGTACTGCGTGCAAATGATTGATCAATAATTGACAAGATGAGGATGCACCACATGCAAAGCACAATTTTCAACAGTGACAAACCAAAGCGCTAAACAAGAAACGTCAATAAGTTCAAACAGCAGATGCTCTATGTCTCACTTTGTGCAACCGAACGAGTAAGATTCCCTAATAATAGAAACACCACTATTGCAAGCATACAGCAGCCCTGCACTAGTCAAAAATGACGAACCTCCACTTAAATCCTAATTTCCAACACCTGACGAAGAATGTGATTCCCTCGGAGACAATGAACGAAGAAAAACACCCATTCCAATTCTGAGATTATCCTCTTCAAAGGATGCCACGACACTTTAACTCCACACGCAACTCAAACCAAAGTCACCCGTTCGTTTCTTCATCACAGAATCCAATTGGTAAAACCCCGCTGTAAGCAATCACACTCCGGATGCAATTTCCTCCATCGAAAAGACTTACACCAATCCGTCATTGCATCTCCGAAGCAAGTACACTCTTAGCAATCCAAACACGACCCACATTCAAACACACACAATCAACAAAGCTCACAATCCTGTCACCTGTGCTCGCGCTTCCACGCCCAGGAGCGAAGGAAAGGGTTGGCAGTGAAGGTGGTGGTGGTCGTCTGCGTCGTTGAGCTCGCACTCGACCTAATTTTTTTCCGAGATTGTGCGTCCGAGAGCAACTCTGCTTTCCGCCCTCTTGCCATCTCCAAACTCTCACGATGCTTCCTCCCCCGCCTACTCCTGCAATGATTCCATCGCCGCCTCGCACAGCATCGTCTATGCGCGCTGCCGCCATCGCTGCAAGCCTTGGCGCTCGAACTAATCATCCATCCATACGCATTCATCCATGTCCGAATATCATTCATCTATGATTCATTCCTCTGTACCCGAGTATCATCCGCTCGTGTTTCATCCTTTGAACATCAGTGTACACGTCATTATACGCCGCTGATATATAATTGCCATCCACCACTTCTTATTTCTTTTGAGTTTGTGGTTTTAATTTTTTGAGTTTAATTAAATTTACAATAAATCATTGTTGAGTGTGAATGTTGGTTCTTATTTTTGTGCTTTAATGTGAATATTTTACTACTTTTGGCTTCTTTGGTTAATTTAGTGATGTTGTTTTAGAAATGTCATCCTAGTTTGAACCCTCTGGTTTTCTTTGGACGTTTTGTAGCCAAGTGGTTTCTTGTTGTGAACAGTGTTATTTCTTGGTATTCTTAGAAACATGTAATATTCTAAGTTTTGTAGTGTTATTTTGATGGAAAGAGTATATGTTACTATTTTACTTGATTGGTCTTTTTTAGACTTTTTAAAATATATATTTTTAAAATTTCTCTTAGTGTTATTATTTTTGACTATTTTTTTTTCATTTTTTTCACAAGAATCATAAATCAGAATCAATTTAGATATTTATTTATTTGTTTATTAAATATTAATAAAAACCATGCCATTGGTGACAAAAAAGGAATAAAAGTTTTATTTGTGATTGCTAAGTCAAAAATTGACCACTCCTAAAGAAATGTTCACCAAGAAAAATAATATATATATATATATATATATACATACATACATACATAACAATAGAACCATTTGTGTTTCTTCATTGTAATTGGCAAACATAATTCTTATTTATTACAATATTGTTGATGGTATTTTTGTTTTTTATTTTTATTTTTAGGATATGGTATCTTGATCATATTTCGAGAGTGCATTGTGATAAGGCTGTATTTATTCAATGGATATACTTCTAGATTCTTCAATAATTGTCTTTTAAGATTTGGTAATGGTCATTGCAAATACCACTTTTATTGGAAACTATCTTTTATTGCAACATGAATGGAATCTATGCAAATAATGGACATAATGTGATCCGTCAAAGAAAAGCCAAATGTCCCTTGTAGTCTCTAAATTAACACCTTGCTTCTATAACTTGATTAGTAAGTTGCAAATTGATTAAGTGTGATCTATTGCAAAATCTTTGATATAGAGCAATATTTTGCAACAACATAACAAGACATCCAACTTTTAGCTCTAAGCTAAATAGTTGCAATCCAAATAGATTTAAACTATTCCAATACTTGTTTGGATAATAATTACTATTATTGGTATCATATTCTATAATTCTTATACTTGTACTAAAATAAATAATCTATATTTATTTTTATTTTTAGTATTTATTTATTTATTAATTAAATATTAGACATAAACATCTTATTAGGTGCATTTTTCCATAAAGTGATCTAATTTAAGTATATATATATAATAAATTTTATGTGTGTCTTTAGCACAAGCTAATACAATTTTGTTGACAAGATGTTATTGGAAAGAGTTATATTTATAATCTACATATTTAATTAAAAGTTGATTGTTGCTTTCTTTTGTGCCTTTTTTTTCTTGTCTATATTTTTCTACAACATACAAAATTATTAGACACTTCAATCATTAATTTCTTATCTTTAAATTTTAATGAAAATACCTTATAAAAAAAAAGAACACTAATATATTAAATAAAGTTTATTCTAGCTTTGTACTTTTGTTTTATATTTATTTAGTTTATATCAAAAAATTAACAAATTTACATAGTAATAGGGAAACTCAACATTTGTCTTAGAATACACAAATGCACTGCCATAATATTCTTTAACTATATATAATATGGTTTTTGTTTTGGCTTTCTCAAAGATAATAGTATTATTGTTATCAAACTTACAGTCTACATCCCTTTGATGTTTAAACAATCTCAAAATTATTATAAAAGTATATATAAAATATTTTTCTGTATCTTTCTAAAAATAATTTGGAAAATTTCTTAAGTAGTATGGAAATTCCTTTAAGACTATCTTTTAGGTTCTTCTAAATCTACTTTTACCAGTACAAAGACACTTAAGACCTTTTTAATTCATATTTTATCCTCCACAATGTGAAGCTCATAAATAGGTTCAAATTTAACTTTTTAAGCAGTCCAATGCAATTGAATATATTTTGGTGTATAAAAAAAATTCCATTTATTTATTTCTTTAAATTTTTTAAAGAAATCTCTATTATCTATCCATGTTTACAAATGATTGTTTATTTAAATTAAAATTTATTTAACATTTGAGAAATAAAACGTTTATTTTGATTTTTTTAAAATCAAAGCATATATTATGAAAGTCTACATAATATTGTATAACATTTTAATTTTTTTAAAAATAAATCACATGTATTTTCCAATTCAACATTTTTACTCTTGAAGCTTACAAAATAAAAATAAAACCTCTCAGGCTTGAATTGTGGGCGTTGGACGGACGAATGGTCGACGAACGAGCGGAGGAACGAACGAGCGAACCAATGAAAATAAAAATAAAAATGAATAAATACAAACATATATTTTAAGTACTTGTCACAGTGCTCAGTAAGTTGGATGATCAACATAATTGATTAATCAATATCAACACCTAAATACATAATAAAAAAACTGAAAAACCAATCAAATAAACAAGCCTTAAAAAGTATATTTCTGAATGTGGAGTTTGATTATGTAAATGCTGAAAAATACTCCATCAAGTCAATGAGATTTAAAAAAAAAAGTTTTCATGACTTTAAAGTAAACCTTGGATTTTAACCCTTGTGGTGAAATTTCATAGTCTAGTGAAACACATTTGTTAATATAGCACATCAATATTGATAGCTAAACAGCCACCTAATACCACTTGTGTTCACCTACCTTTTGACTTTTAGGGCAAGTGAAAACTTTAGTGTCCTATATTAAGACCATATGGTACTCCATCAAACTTGAGTTAGGTACAATTTGTCAAATGTCTGTACCACACAACATTGTTATTTCTAATATTAAATTTACAAAAATAGTTAAACAAGAAGTTCATATTTAATAGTATGTGTAAAAACATACACACACACACACACGTATATATATATATATATATATATATATATATAATTAAAATATTGTATGTGTTATAAAAAAAACTGAACTGGTATGGATTGGTGTGATGGGGTTTTAGTCACAAACTCTATCAATAGATTTACAAGTTTATCAGAAAATAATTTCGATTCACTGTGATACAGCTACAAAACAAGTTTTGATAAAATGTTTAATGCGATTTTTTAATAATAAAAAATGGACGTGAGCATAAAATCAGTATAAATATTACCAAAATAAATACGTATATATCAGTATAAATAAAAACCAGTAGCACTGGTATACGTTTGTATGTATGTATGTCAGGTGAAATTTTATACTAATGTTTTAATAGGGTACCAATGATAAGAACTGATATCATGAATAATTTAATGTGAAGAGTTTGTATCTGAATACCCATTTATAAATAAGTGTTAAATAAATGGTTCTTGATATGTTCACTACGCTAATAAGGATACCTCAACACATGTGATGCTGATAATAATAATAATAATAATAATATGTATATAAAAATACGAATTAAAATGTATTTTCTCTAGAAAAAGAAACATTACATGTCATGCCACAAAATATATTTTATTTATAAAGTAAATAATAATAAAATGCTGCAGGATGATCAAATTCTTTGTTACATCTAATACAAACACTTGTGTTCAAATAAAGTTGAAATGATAATTTATACAGACTTGTTTTAACAGGGTTGTTTATTGTTTTAAGTTCCAATTTTATCAGTTGAATGCATAATATGTCATGAAATTTAGATCACGTCCAACAAATTTTTGTTTTGTATTAGGGTATATGTTCCACTGGATGTGGTTATTAATGATAAATACATTAAAATTCATAATGTTTATGAAAATGATGCAATAGGTCTCAAATAGGATTGAATGTGATAAGTTGGACTCATTACTTCACATACAACTAAACCCTTACTCACCAAATAATTAAACAGCATATATTTTTTCTAATGCAAAATTATAAGCTGCATTTTACATTCAACGGTCAATGAGTAATATCTGTTCAATTATTATTGTTATTAATAAAAATCCAGAAATTTTTAATTTAATTTGAAATTATTGAAATTTTTGTAAATACATAATTTTATATTTATGGTGAAACAGAATGATTTTCTGGGACTGATTTTGTTTTGTTTTGTTTTGTTTTGTTTTTTTTTTTTTCATTTAACATACTATAATACTATGTTATAAAACAAAGTAAAACTATGATAACGTTGTTTTCAGACATTGTTGTGGTTGAAGGTGCAACTGAAGACAGAAACACAATTAAAATAAAAGAATGAACAAAGATTGTAATCAACTTATCTACTATTACATTCCTTACATGTTAACATACAAATAATATTTAATTTTATCAAAATTCAAAGATTTAATCAAATTGTATGTCTGTTTGTTGTGCATATTATCTAAAAGTGTGCTTACAACATCTAAAAGAATACAAGTGAAAAATTTCAGCAATGTATATAGGTGTATATATATATATATATACACACACACAAACAGAACATACTTTTAATAATTAAATAGATCATTTGAAACAAACTTGCAGATGCAATGTATCATTGCCTCATTGCTGACTTGGCCATCTATAAGAATGTTGCCATTCTAGAACGTGTTACTTCAAAGAGCATTGTCATTATGCATGATCACTACCTGACTCAGTAGAACTGTGTCAGGCGAAGACTATTGTGACTCAGTTGGTTCAAGGGAAATGATAAACAAGCTGGAATTGTCCACCATTTCCCTCATTGTCTTAAAGTCTTTGAGAATGTGCCTCAAATGTAGGTCAACTGTACAAGAATTTCTTAACATTTTTAAAAAAACATTTAGT